ACATAAGACCAGCATATTTATCTATCTCACGCAGAAACCCCAAGGTATTTTAACTTAAATGATAACTTCCTAGAGGCCAAGTTATATGTGGATATCAAATAGGAACAGTGTGCGATATAAAACTGAAAGTCTGTTTAACTTAGAAAAACTGGAGAAGTACCAATTAAAACTAAGCAGCTTATTTACAAACTAAAATCTAGTAAATCCCAGAAGTCCACTATTTTGATAGCATTAAGCCACACTTTAAAATGTACATGTGAAATTTGATGCTGGAGTTTATTTTTGCCTAACAAAGTTATAGGAAAAGCAATTAAACAGAAAATGTTGTGCCTTTTCAATTCAATTAAAATAAAAAAACTGTAACTATAGTAAGATATATTTCAACCAAATTGACAAATATCCACATGTGTTATGTCTAGAGTGTGAGGAAACAAAAAGATGGTAAGAACATTAAGTATGACAGAGCAGAGAAGAAAAAATACATACAACACATTTTTAAATGCACACACGCTGAGGGAGTAATTCATATTCTAGAAATTTACCCTAGAGATATATTTACATTCAGGAAAATTAAATATGTACAAGGGCAGATATTGAAGTGTCAACTATAACAGCAAGATGCTAGAAATTACCTGCTACCAGTCGGAGACAAGACAAATATGATCACTTATACTAAATAAATAAGTCCTATGGAAACTTTAAAAAGAAGGGGGCAGCTATTTCTCCATACGTTATTATGGAACAACACCTCAATGCAGACAGTGTTTACTATCCTACCACAGTGAACAATGACACCAATTTATATATAGAATAAATCTTTACATCCATATTCAAGACATTACTAAAATGATATTTCCAGTAAAGAAAATTGGTCAGCTGAGAGACAGTATTTTAATTTTTTTTTTTTCAAAAAAAAAAAGATAGGCTTTTTGGCCCTCCCTGGTGGCGCAGCAGGTTAAAGCACTGCATTAAGAAGCTAAAGCCACTTCCGCATGAGTTCGATCCCCGCCTGCCCTACATGGCGCGGCAGACCTCTCCTGACCCGCCCGCTGCTCCCCTCAGCAGTGTACTTCGTCGATCTGCCTGTTCTGTTCCCCACTCTGTCTCTGGTGAAGCCTCTCACAGCCCCTGAGCCTCTGGCCTGTACCCCAGTTCTGTATGTACAAATAAATAAATCTTAAAAAAAAAAAAAAAGATAGGCTTTTAAGGTCCTAAGCCAGATATGCCTTAGGACACCATATTTTCCTTTTTTTTTTTTTTTTTACTTTATTGGTAATCAAGAATCTGTAATAAAAGAAAATTCCACACAAAAATCACAAAGTCAGACATCCTAATGCCTACTTTTGTTTTTCATAATGTTCAAGAAATAATGAGCAAAGCTTACTGATCAACAAAAGAACAGATGTAAATACAGATATAATTCAGAATGTAAGAAACTAACATATGCCAAAAAAAACACAAAAAAACAAAAAACCCACTAGTGGCCACATTAATTGATAACAAATAACTTATAAAGGTAAAAATCATTTGAGAAAGTAACTTGGCAAACAATGTAAATAAAGAGTAATCTAAATGTTTTTTATTGATAGAAACTTTAGAGACTCAAACAAGCAGAAATCTAGTGAAATATTTATAGTAGGGATAATCAATATTAAAAAATACACATATTTGCACAAAAAAAAAAAAGGAAAAGCCATATACAAAAGACATTATAAATGATGATTTGGACCACCTTCCTTGTGATTTTCTTTTCCAAATTGTCTGCTATACAAATAATGAACTTGGTTACTTGAGGATGTCTCAAAGAACAACAACCTGGGCAAAAAATGTTTCCTATTACTTAAAATAGCAAAAATAAACAATATTTAGTTTATGATGCTCATGATTTAATTCAAGATACTCTTAAGACTGTATAATTCCTGTAAGATGATCTTACACTGAATTTTAAAACAATTTTAATATTTTTAGAAATGATACCCATTTCAACACATGATCTTAGTCATGTAGTAACTTTTCAGAAAAATACTTTTGAAAATGATGTGTAGCAAAATATAAATAACCTGCAAAAAGGTTTTAGAATTAACACCGCTCAGAAAATTAGGTTGAATGTGAACACCCACTAGTTAGTTCTGGAAACTGTTTCTGGTTCTTGTTAACCAGACAACTAAATTACTATGAAAATTTCTCTTATAGAAGTTAACAGTTGAATTATACCTCAGTATCAGTCCAACCCATTTGAGGTCTGTAAAACCGAGTTGGATCCCACACCACAGGGAGAGGACTCTCTTCCAGATTAGGCCCCTCACTAATTTCTTTTAGGTAGTTAAGGGAGAAGCAGAGGAGGGCGGGTTTTCCAAAGTCCACCGAGTCTTGGCTGCCTTCAGTTCAAAACAATCCAGAGGCCCAAGGGGTATGTTTCAAGGTAGTCTAACACCCTCCCCTTCAACTATAGTCACCGTGGTTTCACTTCCCTGACTCAACCCTGAATCTCATTAAGACAGAGACAAAAAGCTGCATTTTTCAGAAACGAATCATTCTGAATTTTAAAATAACTGTTCATGTTCTAAAACATGGGACATACAAGTATTAATACAATTTTAGCTCTATACTAACTACGTTTCTTTTTCGCTTGAACCAAATCAGATTTGCCAGCCACTCCAGCATCACACGATTCATGATAGTTTTCAGTGAGCACCTTTACAGATTACTACCCCAGCTGAAGAGAAATTTTTAAAACTCTATTATTTGGTTTTAGCTCAGAGATGCTGAGAACTAAGAGGCTACTATCCATAAGAATAAAGCTAAACAGATTCAGTAAATTAACCACTTCCCATGGACTCTAACATGAAGACTACCCTAGGCCAAAGAACACCAAGGTATCTTCAGGAACACATAAGACCAGCATATTTATCTATCTCACGCAGAAACCCCAAGGTATTTTAACTTAAATGATAACTTCCTAGAGGCCAAGTTATATGTGGATATGTGTGGTGTTGAGGCTCCTGTGAGTCACAGCTTGGGGGAGTTCAGGCTCTGGCTGCCTTTTCCTCCTGCAGCCCCATAATGTTCTCCCAGGGAGCTCTGGAGGAAGCTTCCGTGCATGGCACAAGCTGGGGGTAGGACACAGCAGGTGCAGCTAAATCCTTTCTCTTTCAAAAAAGAACAAAAAGGCTAGATCTCTGGGGGGTGGAGAAAAAGATTTCAAAGTCAATAGCCCAAGCTCCAGAATAATCCCACCAACAGTGAGGAAAAGAAATGGAGGCCTACAAAATAAAAGCCTTAATGTCAAGGAGGAAACACATCAAAACTATACTCTAAGGACCTTAGTAGTCACAGCTAGAGAAAAGGAAGTGGGAGTGGGAGCAGAGAAGAATGGGAGGAAGGGCTACCTTCCCCGGGGGGAGGGACTGGGACACTTACAAGGCCACCCCACTCAGACTTTGGTTCACAGTGTCTTACCATGCAGTAAGGCCTAATCCATAGGGGCAGAAGTGATAAACTGAATTTTATCAACACTGAAAATTTCTTCTCTATAAGAGATACTATTAACAACAGATGCCACCAAAATGGTAACACAGGACATTCCCTACTTTGCTCACAAGCACTAAAAACAATTCAGGAATAGGATACCACCACGAGAATCCTGTAATGTAGGGATGAAGCTAAAGCACCTCAGCTCCTCAGATACTAGCACAGACTGCAACAGATGTGTGCCATAGAGAACTAAACATCTGTATGACAGGAGGCAGGTAAAGAGAAACATACAAAGGCATCAGTTTGGGGGGTGGGGGTACACAGACAGCTGGGCTGCCAGTCCAGCCATAGGCTCTGGGCGAAGAGAGTAGAAATGATCCTTGGCGCTGGTAAAGCCCAAAGCAGATGAACTGAGATGCTCCACACCAGCCAGAACCCCAACAAAAAGAACAAAAAACACTCTAGGTTTCACTCACACCTCCCTTTATTCCCACCCTTTGGGGCCCTCACTGGTACTATGAAGTGCCAATAGTCAACAGGATGCTGAGTCCTGGATCTGGTGGTACCCCAAGAGGAGGGATAAGAGAGGCAGCACAAGCAAACCAGGCCTTCATCAAATATAAACAAGGGCTGGTGTCAGCAAACCAGCCCCTCCCTAAACCCAGCAGCAACTCATCTACCACCCCCATTGCACCACAGCAGCTGATAATACCCAAGACATAAAGCCACAGCACCACCTGCTGGAGAAGTAAAAGATGCACAGGTCAGGTCTTTCATGCATTAATACAATTTTAACAAAAGTCTAACCTAAGCTTAGAGGTAAGTCAAATGGTCAGATAAAAGATTAATTGAAACCTCAAGGTAAGAAGTCATAAGAAGGAGAGAAAAGCAATTCTCCAGAAACCAAACTTAAAAACAGGGAGAGTAAAGCCTAACAGCAAGAGAATTTAAAATAGCTGTCATGAAGACACAACTTCTATCATCCACTGCAACTGATTAGGATAGCAAATCACTGACATACCCAGGGGTATAGTCTACTCTTAGAAGAACATGGTTTTGTTTTTGAGGCAACACTGGTTTACAACACTGTATGATTCAAAGGTACAGGGTCACACCTCTTCATCATACCAACACCAAAGCACCCACAGTCCACCATACTCCACTGGGGTCCCTTCTACACTATGCTCCTGCTCTCCACCACCTCCCCCGCCTTCTAGTCTTAACTTTACAGACCGACTTCTAAGGTTTGGTTTCATTTAGACTGTTGTTTCTCTACATTCCACTTATAAGTGAAACCATGAGATATATGTCTCTTCACTCTGCATTATCTCCTGCAGTTCCATATGTTGTCAAAAATGAGAAGAGCTTATCCTTTTTTAACTGCTGTGTAGCATTCCATATATATCATATCTTCTTAATTAACTCATCTGTATTGGGCACTTGGCTTGTTTCCATTGGGCACTTGGCTTGTTTCCATAATTTGTTATAAATAGCACTGCAATGAACGTACAAGTGCATATATACCATCAAATTAGTGTTTTGAAGTGTCTGGGTGGATACATTTATGAATAAATGTGCCTAATTACAAGGCAGATCTATTTTTAATAGTCAGAGAACCCTCCATACTCGTTTCACCAAGGGCTGGGGCAGTCTACCATCCCCATAAACAATATGAAGGTTTCCTTTTCCACATCCTTGCAACACTTCTATTTTCTGATCTTTTTGATATGAGTCATTCTCACAGATATAAAATGGAATCTCACTGTGGTTTTTTCTTTTCCCTGCTAAGTGATGATGAACATAATTTCTCATTTGCCTATTGACGATCTCTATTCATTCTTTGAAAAAAAAATGTCTCTTTAGCACTTATGCCCGTTTTTTCATGTTGTTTTTCTTAAAAAAAAAAAAAGATAAATTTATTTATGTGTATAAGAACTGGGGTATAGGCCATAAGTGTGAGGGGTGAAAGGATTCACCAGAGATAAGAAGAGGGTGCAGAACAGGTGAATCTACTGAAATACACTGCTGAGAGAGCAGTGGGTAAGACAGGATCTCCCTGGCTGGAAATTGAACTCATGCTGAAGTGGCTGGCAATAGCTAGACAGCACTGAGACTTTAACCCTGGCACCCCAAGGGAGGCCCTGGGTTGTTTTCTTTTTGTTGAGTTATATAGTTCTTTCTAGATTTTGGATATCAGCCCCTTGGGAGCTGTGTGAATGCAAGTATTCCCCCTCATTCAGTAGGGTTTCTTCTTTGTCCTACTCTTAGGGTTATTGTGTGAACCTTTATTTCCCATCTCTACCTGTTGAAACCCTAATTATGCTTTGAGTCCCAAGTCACTTAAATGGTATTTAACCATGAATCTTTGGTTACAAACTGAGCATCATCTATCCACTTTTGTTTCCAACCCTAATTTTGGAAAGAAATTTTTATTACACCTTATTACAACACATTTCTATTTTTTTTGTTAACTTATTTCTTAAGCACCAGGAATTGTCTTTTTCATATTTTAAAGTGCTTAGTATCTTTGCATATATAAATCACACATTTGTTCAAAATCACAATTTACAAATTGCCTGATTCTCAACTGTCAAACAAAAATCTTGAATAAGAATATGATAGCTTGCTAGCATGAAAATTTTACAGGCAGTATCATTTCATACAGTCTTACCAATATACTTCATACCAAAACAAATTACTTTCTGAAAGAAAAAGTTTTCTTTTTGTCCAGGTCAGAATTATATGAAGAAATAGAGCATTATGAAGGAAAAAATTCTCATGAATATTTCTGTAGTAGGATCATGTCCAAACCAGCCTAACGGTATAAATAAGACCTCATTAACAAATCCCACTAGCTGACATTAGCTTGACAAAAACCATCTGCAGAAATTCTGCACTGTAGCCACATTTATTGATTGTATTCTCCATCCAGGGTCACAAGGAAAGTCATACCATTTTCAGCAATCAGTCCAGCCCACTTCTCACAATTCTGTCATTAATACTGCCATCAATGGCCTATTTCCATAACACCACTATAAAGTAAAAAAGGGTTTTGTTCTTCCTATCAGCAGTTAGTTCTCAGATATAGCCTCTTTGTCTCTCAGACACACATTAAAGCAAACACTAGGACTTTAAACCATTCCGCCACAGGCTCTGGTGAACTTCAATTTATCTGCCTTCCCTCCAGGTGCTTTACACCGCAGGTCACCACAGTCCCATGTAATCTGGACTGCCATGTCTTCCTATTCTACCTGTGTGCACATATCTAAATGTGAATCACTAATATTGCCCTATGTTCTTCTGTCCAAGAAACTCCTAAGCCCCCACATAAATTTACCCAGTGCCCACTCTACAAAAGGCTAGAGGGTCAGTTATCTGGACTCAGATCCTACCTCATATTTACTAGCTTTGTGATACTGGAACACATTACTTAGCTTCTTTGTCCCTTAATTTCTAATCCACTAAATAAGAAGGAAGCATTAATCCCTTAACCAAAATCAGAAGATGTGTTTCAGAGTTCAGAAATTTTCTAAATGTTCTAAAAAGGTAACACAATATATATTACATATCATATAAAATGACCTGAGCAGAGTTTGGGTCAGTCATCATAATAATCAAATGCTTTAATACTTCTGCACCAACCCATGAATATTTGATAGTACTAACTGGGACAGAAAGAACTTTAAGTATAGTCTGGTCATATTATATCACCAAATGCATTTATCACAAACTAATCAAAAACTTAGTTCTGAAGTTTCTGACTTATCGATAATAAGAATTCAACTGAACTAACACAAATGAAGTACTCAAAATACTTTATATCAGAGTTGTTTGTTATCTTTATATGCAAGGTAATTTTCAGGTTGTATGACAGTGTCCTAATTCATCAAGGATACTGTAAAGATAATATAGACTGGAAAGCCTAAACAGTAAACATGTATTTCTTGCAGTGTGGAAGATAGGAAGCTCAAGAATCAAGGTAACAGCAAATTCACAGTCTGGTGAAGTCCCATTACCTGGTTCACAGGCAACTATCTCCTTATGTCCTTCCTTACCAGGCAGAGGAGACAAGGGGGCTCCCCCGGGTATTTCATCAGAGTACTGATCTCATAGATGAGATTTCCACCCTCCTGATCTAATCACCACCCAAATACCTCACTTTCAATACCATGGAGTTGGGGACTAAATGTCAACATATAAATTCTGTGGTAAAGCAAATATTCAGTCCATAGCAGAGAGGTAGAGAAATGAGCAAGAATTCATTCTTTGCAATGTTATAAATGATGAACAACTAAGTTTTACAAGGGTTATACTAGTACAATAATAACTAATATGTATATAAAATTATTAATATGGTGATCACTGTGCTAGATTTTTAAATGATTGTCTTCCTCAGCCACTGAAAGGTTGACACTATTGACCCATTTTATATATGTCAAAAATGAGGCTAAGAGATCAAAATTAAGTAATGGGCCCATTACTTAAACCCAGCACCAATTTGAGGATTCATGCTCTAATCTACAATTTTATGCTTCCTACATTATGTGTGTTAAGTCTTGAACCTATAAAATTGAGAACCATGGTATACTAAGGTCAACAAAGCCTGCCAATATTTCTCTACTTCTCTAACAATTGCATTTTTAAGTTCCTCATCATAACCTAATAGCAGCAATAAAACGAAGTCCAAACTTACCAAATGTTGCAGTATGACGTTAGTCCGTTTCAACGAATTAAACCTGAAACACATGTAGAATATAATGAACACAGTAATTTTTCAATGTACAAATATTATATTCCCTTTCATGTTAGCTACTTCTAAAAGGTTTTAGAATAAGCAGCTTGAAAAAAAGACTTAATTCTCATTCATTGTTGAAATACAAAACAGTGAAGCTACTTTGACAGTTCTGTGGTTTCTTACAAAAGTAAATAAACTCAGAATCATGTGATTATGCTACCATGTTCCATGTTATTTACCTAAATGAGTTGAAAACTTATGTCCACAAAATAACTTTACACATGAATTTTATAGTAGCTTTATGCATAATTGTCAAAGCATGGAAGTAGCCAATTGGTCAACTGGTGAATAGATAACCAATCTGTGGCATACCCACACAATGGAATATTATTTAACCATAAAAGAAATGAGCTATCATTCTACAGAAAACCAAGGAGGAGTCTTAAATTCATGCTGTTATGTGAAAGAAGCCAATCTGAAAAGACTACATACTCCAGAATCCCCAATATAGGACATTCTTAAAAAGCTAAGCCATGGAGACAGTAACAAGATCTGTGGTTTAGAGGGTGTGAGGAACAGGATGAACAGGTGGAGCACATGACATAATGGGAGTGTGAAAATTGTATGGTTGTAAAGGTAGAGGCATGTCATTAAACATCTGTCAAATTTTCCTGCTCACTTTTTCTAAAACTAGACTAAAAAATGTCCATTAAGAAAAAGTTTAGCAAGGCTGAAACAGGCATTCTTAGACACTGCTGAATGATAAACACACTGATATTATCTTCCTAGTAGTCAATCCAGAAATAAATCCACACCATTAAAATTACTATATCCAGCCCTCCCTGGTGGCGCAGCGGGTTAAAGCACAGCACTGGGAAGCTAAAGCCACTTCCGCATGAGTTCCATTCCCACCTGCCCTGGAGGTGACCACATGGCGTGGCAGACCTCTCCTGACCCGCCCGCTGCTCCCCTCAGCAGTGTACTTCGTCAATCTGCCTGTTCTGCTCCCCACTCTGTCTCTGGTGAAGCCTCTCGCTGCCCCTGAGCCTCTGGCCTGTACCCCAGTTCTGTATGCACAAATAAATTTTTAAAAAAGAAAGTTCTCCAAAAGATATTCAGCTTGTTCTTGGGAAACTTAGTATAGTCAAAAAGATTCATATTAGTGCAGTTTGACTATATTGGGAAGCATTCTAAACGAGGAATAAATTTAAAACAAAGGGAGAAGTGAAACATGGAATCAAAGACCAGCAGCCTTATAAACGACATGCAAATGTGTACATATATACTATTTGAAGCAAGTGAAAATTAGCCAGTTTATAAACCTGTCAAAGGTAATTTAAGAGGTAAGGCTTTAGCTAAAGCACTTAAGAAAAAGTCCTATGACCATTGTTGCCACTTGTAACCACATGTTCGATGACTGACTTTATAAAAAGCCTGTAATCCCAATACTTTTCAGAATTTATATTACTTTCCATTTATATTACGTGCAAACCGAATAATGTTACAAAGGGGAGCTATCACCATCTAAATTATCACACTTCACATTCCTAGACTAGTATATTTTGAATCTGCCTTTCCACAGATAAAATAATCTCATCTTAGTCCAGTGTTTCCACAACTTAAACGCACAATTGAATCACCTGGAGACAAAAACATTCCCAGCCCACATTCAACAGGTCAAAGTCCGGATCACATCCAAGACCAACTAAATCATAAACTCTAGAGGTGGAACACAGGCATAGGTATTTATGAAGCTCCCAAAAAAATTCTAAAGTGCAGAACAAGTTGTCATTAAAATTAATTGTGGCCCTCCCTGGTGGCGCAGCGGGTTAAAGCACAGCACTGAGAATCTAAAGCCGCCTCCGCATGAGTTCAATTCCCGCCTGCCCGGGAGGTGACCACATGGCGTGGCAGACCTCTCCTGACCCGCCCGCTGCTCCCCTCAGCAGTGTACTTCATCGATCTGCCTGTTCTGCTCCCCACTCTGTCTCTGGTGAAGCTTCTCACCGCCCCTGAGCCTCTGGTCTGTACCCCAGTTCTGTATGCACAAATAAATAAATCTTTAAAAAAAAAAATTAATTGTATCAATTATTTTTAAAATTAAACTGAGGTTCTCCCTGGTGGCACAAGGGATGTCTCAGCACTATGGAGCTATCTGCAGTATCCAAAGGAGTTTATCCCCAGTCAGGGAGCTGACCCACATGGTACAGCAGACTTCTCCTGTGTATTTCAGTAGATCCACCTGTTCTGCTCTCCACTCTGTCTCTGATGAATCTTCTCCTACTACTTCTCCTCCCCCTACCTCTGACCTACGATAGGAGCTGTGGGAGCTCCTACAGTATTTAGGGGAATTTTCAAAATAGATTTTGAAAACTCTTAACTAATCCTGAAGCACCACTTCTTAAAAATTTAACTTAAATCGATTTTAACTTTTTTGAAAGTTTTTTTAAGATGTATTTATGTATACAGAACTGGGGTAGACCAGAGGTGCAACCAAGTACAACTAAAATTCTTGCCAGATTCAATAATAACATTGGTTTTGCTTGTTCTGATTCATTCTCAGCTGTTGTAAAAGTTAGAGATTTTAAATATCTCAAAAGTGTATGAGTATTCAAAGTCCCTAAGTGATTCTAAATGTGTGGCTTTTCTTCCCATCAGTTAGCTCTAACGCTGCCATCTGGTGGAGAGAAGAGAGCATACATAGCCGGGCTACTGCCAATTGACAATTAACTTATTTCCTTTAGGTGCTGGTTAATTGGCTACTTGGGGCAGCTGTTTTGGGCTATTATTAGAGGAGCAAATTCGTGGCCTACTCCAGACTAACTGAATCAGGATCATGACGCCTAGAAATGTTTAATCCTTCAGGTGATTAGATAAACACTAAAGCTAAAAAAAAAAAAACTGTACTAGTTTAGATTGTGTAGTTATCCAATAAAATGTAAAGCTATCATCACAAAACTAATAGCATATAATGAAATAGTGCCTAAGGATTTTTAAGGGAGATAAGCAAGGGGGAAATGAGCAGAAAAATCAAGTTAAAGACCAAGTGATTCAGCTTCAAATTGATGAACACCCACTTTGAAAACAAAAAATGATATTGAGTAGTTATGCAATAAAAACTAAATGGAAAGGAAATTATGTCAAAAACAACTCCAAGATTTCAAGCCCGAGTAGCTAGGAGAATACAGGTGCCAAAAAGGTTTGGGAAGGAATTTAACCAGCTTAGAGGAAGAAATATGAATTCTATTTTGAATTTCTTGAGTCTGTTCTGACAGGAGTAAAAATACTCAACACCTAGTAGAGAAAAGAAACATGCTTGAAAGGAAAGTTAGGAATAAAGACATTTCAGGAAGTCACATGCATAGACAATCCCTGAAACCCCAGAATCTCTCAGCAACCTATGAGAAATGAGAAAGCTGCAGTTCAAAACTAACGCCTGGATCTGCAAATATATTTTACATGGTTAGCAGTATTTGAAAACTACAAAAATTTAAAATCAAAAGTCTTCACCTAAAAATGCAGCTTTCCATCTTTTACAGAAACTGGATCTATAATCCAGTCTGAGGCTGCGAAGCTGCCTCCTCCAGGCAGAGCCTGGTCCTGCACTAGCCCCCACAGCTGCCATCTACCCAGCATCACTCAACACACTCTACACTCTACACTCGGGTTTGTGGCTCCTAGCCTAGAGAAAGGCTCAACTATTGAATTTTCAGAAATAACTACATAAAAGTGAAAGAAAAGAGGTAGTCAAAGAAACAAAAACCAACACAGTGTTGTTCAGCAGAGTACAGCAAATGGAGAAGGGAATGAGTACTATTGATTCAAGAATCAGCCTCCTTGAGGAGACTACCCTCCACCCTCTTGCTTTCTAAATTCCTCCTAGTTGTATTTTTCCTTTAAGACACTTATCAGAATTGGTAACTAAATATTTTTGTTACATATTTGTTTCATATCTGCTCTCCTTTCAGACTTCAAGGACCTTCCCTTACCAAGGAGCAGTAACAACATCAAGCAGTCCAGTTGGCTGCAAGAAAATAGAAGTACCTAGAATATTACCTCCCGGAAGCTAAAGCATTAACAGTATTGCTGGAGAGAAAATTGGAGCCAATTCTTTCAAACCCCCAGGTTGAAAAGTTTTTATTTACTGCCCATAGGTAGGACAGCTACTGAGCAGAACAACAGGCACTGAAAAATTTTAACAAGATTCATCTGGCAGAGCCTTTGCCCATTGAGAAAAGGCAAGTCTACCAATCAGATTTCTGCAAAATGACCAGGTGCTAAATTTGAGAGGTCGATTCAAATCCAATCAACAAGAAAAGCTAACAGCTGGAAGTATAGGCAGGTTTAAATAACTTTAGAAATCTAAAAGAATAGTGCCAAGGAGTTGAATATGCAGATGAGGGGTAAGGGTTGCACTTACCTTTCAGATATAAATTTTTAACTAAGGTGCAAAAGCACTAACACTCAGGAAAAATCAAGGTTAAATATACAAAAAAAGAATTATCTTCAAAGACGGGTGCTTTATTTGAGGACAACAATGTCCAAGTGCTAAATTAGTACTTGGACAAGTTAAGAAGTACTGAGCCGCTGCAGGAAAGAAAGCAAGACAAGCCAAGGGTAGCCAGAGTTCAAGAGAGATTGCCCAACCACAACAGCCACAGCCTAGAGGCATTTTTCCTCTCAGAATCACTGTGTGGGACCCTGCATCCTAATACATTTGTGGGGGTAGATTGCAGACTGAGTGACTTGCAGACTGAGTGGCTTCAGGTCTGTTTTACTAAAAGGTTCCCACTCCAGGAATGACCCTGGAAAAAGCCTTCTGACCAAAACCCTAAAATTTACCAGTATGCACCTAATCAATCTGCACCTTGAAATACAGGGTGAAATAAATAAAGCCAACCTTAACTCTGGGAGTGAGATTCTGCCCCCGGTCAGTTAACTTTGTTATAAGCATCTTCCCCACTTTGCCCACTTTGTTTCTCAAATAATTTGGTTATATGCTCACACCTTCAAAAACAAAACCAGTAGCAAAGATTACATGTGTTGATTGTTTTAGTTTTTAATCAAGTCTCTCGTGAGCTGGTTAGAAGCACAGGGGCTATGTTTTTATAAAAAGGAAAGTAACTCTTCAATTTCCTTCACGTATCTGTGAGCCAGGTCTATGGATACAATGTTAAAGAACTAGACAAGTCCCCTTCAAGCAGTTAATGATTCCTTTTTTCCAAAAAAGTTCAAAGGGTATTTAGGAAGTTAAATTGTGTCGAAGATGGTTTTTAGGAATTTAAATTGTGTCGGAGATGGTTCTCGGAACAAGTGGTCACAGCTACCTGGTGGCCTAAAGGGGCTGGCAGCAGACTTCAAGGCTGATGCAGCCTAACTTACTAAAGTGACTGCTGCCAGATTTCCTCTGCGAAGCTCCAGATGCTCGGAGCAGCGCTTTCGAAAAGGCTTTAAACACAGCGTTTGCGTACTCCGCCAAGCCACGTTACGAGTCCGCTACACGAACCCATATTAACGCTGCGAGAAGCTGGAGGACTCACGAGCACAGGTGCAATCACTGGCCAGGCACGAGCGTCCTCAGCCGCACAAAACGCCACAAAATTTCTCCAAGTTAAACCCTGCGTCTTTCCCAAACTATACGCAACTTTAAAGAAAGAAATGGGGGAGAGGGTAGCAAAAAGAAATAAAGAGCAAGTCAAGGTTGAATCGAAGTAAGAATGGCAGAAAGCAATGCGGAAGGCGCTAACGGCTACGCGAGGCACGACCGAGGGCCGCGGGCTGGACTGGACCGGACCCCGGTCTGCAATCTGCGCCTCGCGCACAGGCTGTCCCCATCCCGACCCCGTTCACCTCTAATCCCGTTCACCTCTAGGAGAATGCAGCTGACGAGGGGCCCCAGGCTGCTCACTCACCTGGACATAAGCCTCCACGCCTCCGGCAGCCCCATGGCCAAAACACCCGCGAGCCTACAGCCTCCCGCGTTTCGCAAACCCTAGTGGCTCTTTGCGCCACACGTCAGGCCCGCCCTCCGCCACCGGCCATAGATAACGAGTCCTCCAGGCGGCCAGAGCGCCCGACGGAAGGATTTTTTTAACGCTGTGCTGGGCGGGGCCAGCGCTACTGCTTGAGGAAATGGGTTGAGGGCGGGGATAAACAAGAAGTATAAGCTCCCGGCTGCGCGTCGGGGGCGGAGTCTGAGTGACGGCCGACGGCGGACCACGGGGTGGGGCTGAGACAGGCTGAGCCGAGTGATTCCGCAGAATTAGCACAATGAGTTTGGGATATTTCCAAGGTTTTTTTGTTTTTTTGTTTGTTTGTTTAAAAAAGTTATAAGACCTCCACGCTTCCTCGATGACAGGCGAGAATTGTCTCACTAGGAGATGATATATGTCTTCACCAACGATATGTTGTATTACTGTTATCAATGAAAGCATTAATTATATTCAGAAAGTAGTTTGCTCAAATAAAACCAAGATTTAAACCGTCCACTAGGAGTCACTGTTAAGTTGATTCAGAAGAACGTTCTTGTGCATTCACGTACACCGGGAAGCCCAGGAGCAATTATTTCATCCCCACAAAAAAATAACACGTTTATTCAATGAGGAATTTCCGAGAAAAAGAAATTAAAGGAGCTAGTGTTAAAGCCTCGCCTTTAAGAAGATATGTGAAGGCTTTGATCAAAAATTTCTTTTCTACTCTAAGTCAACATAATTCCTAGCACCCACTGAATAGAAAGCCAATAACCAGCATCACTGAAGAACTCCGAACTGGTCATTGTTTTTGGACATCTCCATTGGACATCGCCATAATGTGTCACAAAAAAAATAAATGGGTCATGTTACACAGCCTGGTTTATTAGAAAGATCTTAGAATTTCCGGTCATACATCCGTAGACTCAAATCTTTCCTACCCCCTTAGCTTCATGTGAGTACAGTTTGTCATTTAAGGCTTCATGCTTAAAAGGGCCTCCATTTGGTTTAATGGTCTGCTCCTAGTAATTTCTTTAACAAAGAGTGTGGTGGCCTCAGTGTACTGCTTTGGCCCTAGTCAACCACAAGATACACAGAACTTAAACCACTTGCATGAAGTCCCAGGTATCTTCTCAGACAAAATAAACAGCCATGCAACTGGAAGCCAATGAGTAAGGGCATACTCAACTATTACTAATAAAATATGTGGAAAATAAACCTGATCAAAAGACTCCAGAGGATATTGTCAATTTCAATTTATTGATCCCAAATGGACATGGACATTCTAATATGGAGCAAGGTGAACAGTATGGAATACTAAAGGGACCTATGAACCAAGAACACTTCTCTTAAGTCTCTTGTTTTCTAACTTGTAAGTATATGCAAATTGGTAGACTTTGGGACCTCTCAAGATTTTGGAGATGCCCCAAGTTGGGTAATAAAATATGAATTCTTTCCCATTCCTCTTGCTCAGTACCCAAAATAAGTTAAACAATCCCTTCTGCAAGGCTGTTAGTAGCATCAAGCTGCCATAGGATTCTAATGTACAGAAATAATAGTAAGTAACCACTGCCACTGTTCCCAGGCACTCTGATCCCCAGGAACTCCATATGGGCACTCCTGAAAAAACAAGCCACCACTGAGTTGGTCACAGCAACCCACCCTAGACCACACCCCCACGTATTCATAGTGTACTAGGTCCTTTTAAGGGACATGACACCCTGGCAATATTGCTTGTGTGTCAGAAAGCTGATGCTGGGTCCCCAACAGTCTGTTTTCACTTGGCTAAGACTGCCTGTGAGAGCTGGTAACACCTAGAGTTGCCCTCACAGTACTGTATCAAAGCTGTCCAACATTTTACATACTCTTGTGCCCTTTTGTGCGCCTGCTAACCACTGTGTGCACCCACAACAGAACTAGCACAAAGAGCATCGTAGCAGTTATTGAAAGGATCGTGTTGTTGAAACTTGATCTCAAAAATCTTAGTACTTTATCTAGTCACTGAGTATTATGACCTAGGTGCAATCTTAGTGGTAGACCCTTGGAGATTGTATGGTGCTATGAAAGCACATAGCAGGGGCGCCTTTCATTGTCTAGGAATCGGAAAAGGCTTTTTAGAAATAACCAGTTTTGATACAGGGAAAATGCGCAGAGTGAATGAAACACATCTCCTGAATTCCAGTAGAAGCACTGGAGTGGTAGGGCAGGACCAGAACATGAATAATCTGCAAAGCTATTTTAAAGTTATTTAAGCAGAATATGGCAAAATCATTTTTGAATTCTATCAGTATCACTTTGAAGTATAGTCAGTGGATCAAAGAAAACACAGTTGGTTCCTCACAACCCTCCCTGCATCTTTTCTACACCTTCACTCTAATTTGCCTTGCAAAGGTTCTGACTTGTCTGGGCCTGCCCAATCCCAACTCCATGACATCATCTCACAAATACAGCTTTCAAATAGTTATTTATTCTTAATTTTGCTTTGGTCACATTTTGCTTTGGTTTCTCATTTTCAGAACACAGCAGAGAAATATGATTAGCCTCATTCAACCTTTTTGAGCTATAAATGGGTCCTCCTAGATCAAAAGGCCATGGGATTTAATTAACAGTTTGGACACTGGGAATATTCATGAGACAAGATTGTGTGGGCTGGACAAAGAATGATGGCTTGTTTTTCAGCTTCAAGTAACAGATGATAAAGATAGGAGTATTAATGAACGAGGAAATTTTACAAAGATGGTTTCAGTTAGGAAACAAAT